CTGGCTGACAGCCGGGCCCGGAGACACTAAGTGGGATGGAAGACACACCAGCGAAGGAAGGGGGAAAAGTCATGAACACTCGAGACTTGCCTAAAGCCCCAAGGAGGGTAGCTCTGGAGTCCAGACTGAGAGATAGGGCCAGGACCGTGGGCAAACACTCGCCGGAGGAGCTACAGAGTGAACCTAGAAACCCTGGTCAAGGCCAGGAGCCTGGAGAAAAGATTAACAAAGTGTTCCAGAAGGTCTCGTAACCCCCTCAGATCTGGCCACAGGATTAACTCACGCCCACATCAGATCAGAGTCCAGGTTTCATTTGTCTCTAACTAGTACCAAGCCAGATAGGATAGATTTCCAATAAAGAACTGACCTGTTTAAAAAAAAAAAAAAAAAAATACTGCCACAAATAGAATCTAAAAAGGCAGAAAAACAGAAATCCAATTCCTGCTTCTTTCAGATTTTTTTCCCCACTGACAAAGGCAGAGAAGATAAGAAGAATCGCACCGTTACTGATGAGAGTGCAGAAACACCCACTCTCCCCATTCTCTCCTGGTGGGCATGTCATATGGCAGCAGCTGCTAACCAGGAGACGCACCTCTGTGAAGCCTGTGCAAACAGCCACCCATGGAACGGACAGTCCTCTGTGTCCCATTACCTCCCTGGCTACAGCACGGAAGCCAGAGCCAATCCTGGGCAGGTTGGTGACCAACAGCCTCACGAGGGAAAATACACGAGGACAATCACATTCCTCTCCCAGGAATTTTCAATCATTAAGTACGCAGACTTAACCAGCAAGGTGTTCAGAGCTAAGCTAGGGGCTGAGGCTGCCATTAAGGGCCCCCGTATAGTCAGCAGGCAGGAGGCTGGGTTACAGTGCAGTGGAGGGCACAGAAAATCTGAAGCCTCGAGAGAGAAAATACAGAGCTTCCTCAATTCTGGCCCTTTTTCTGGAGATATAGCCACATTTCACCAGCCTGGGAGCTCAGCATCATGACAATCTTACTTCATTTGAGGTAGCGGGTGTCTCTTCTTGGCCACCCAAAGGGCCGAATCTAGAACGGAAAACATCAACAAAAGCAGAGATAAAATCAACAGAACCTTGGAACAAAATGTGAAGGGTCAGTGAGTCTATGGTCATACCTGGAATAGTAGAATCATATTAGGTAAAAGTAATCCTTGGAAAGGTATGCACTGTGTGTCAACACACCAAGCAAACTATTTCATTGCTAACCCACCTCATAGCCCACCTCCAGAGTCCAGGGCAGAGACACGATTAGAAAACACAGACTTCTGTCCCTCCTAGCAAGGTAACTGCTCCGGCAACAGACCACATTACAAGCCCAGCCAAACTAGGCTAAAGAAATAGGCAAAAAGTCAGTTCTGGCCACAACCAGTCTTAAGTGGCTGGTTAAGACAATGGTAAGAGCATACCCAAGAGTGGCTACTCTGGGCCTTACACAAAATGAGTAAGCAGGCTGCAGAGACAGATGACTGCAGGGCAAAGGGACAGACACCAGGCAGCCTTCAAGTGACAAAAGGAACAGCCTCTGGCTTAGAAACCCTGGTCCCCACGAGCGCTGACTGTGCTTTCTGCCTGCGTCTTTGGATGTCTGGAAATTGCAACATTTTTCTCCAAGTTTCTGTTCCTTATGTCAAGGGTGAAGACTGAACACACAGTATACAGTAAAAGTAGAAAAGACAAACGTTGATGAGGGCAGGGAGAAGGGCACACCGCCAACCCACTACCCCTACAGAATGACAAGCCCGCATCGAAATTGCAAGGTCACACATACAGAACAGCAGTGTGTCAACACGGACGAGGCCATGGTGCACCCACATGGGCCATGTGGCCGTCAGAGGCTGCCGCGAAGTCGAGTTATCCCACTACCTGAATTCACGCTCCCTGACTCAGGAACCAAGCAGACTCCAGACAGCACGGGACACCAGCATTCCAGGACACGGAAAGATGGTCACAAGATAGCAAGTGCACAAACGAGCAAAGGTTATGAACCAACACACATCACGTGCGTTTCTGTTCAAAGTAGCACATTTACATATAGTTGTACCTACACGATGAGACTATTTCTGCACTGCCTGTAATGGGGTCTTTTTGCAATTCTCAACCCCACTCTAATTCCTTATAAACAATAAAAACACCTCTAAAAATGTAAGACTTTTTTTTCAGAGGCTGCAAGTTAGGATTTGGAAAACCCAGCCTTGGCTCTCCTGGTCAGGGAGGGAGAAGACGGGGTGGCTGGGCGGAGCTGAAGGACAGACGACAGGGGCCCCGCTGCTCAGAGACAGCTAGTCTCCGCAACAGGCCTCCGGATGGCAGCCCTCCACGGCCTCCCCCGCCCTCCTCACCTTCCCTTCCACCCGTTTGAGGCCTGCCCTGCACCTAACTCCCCAAGTGTGGACTGTCCTCTATGAGCCCTCTGGTCCCCAGCAGCTCAAGGCCTCACTCCTACAGAAAGCAGCCTCTGACCCTCCGGGACAATGATTGCCCCCCCTCGGAAACAGGGCTATTTTCACAGGAACAGCTACTCAACATCTCCAAGGCCGCAGTCAGTGCGCTCCAAGGCCACACAGGCAGCTCTGGATCCCTAACAAGGCGGTTTGCTGTAAGTGAAGTTATATAAGGCCAAAATGGAATCGACGTGCGCAACGTGTCCACTTCCGTAAACATCCCATGAGGCAAAGCCTGGGAAGCAAAAAGATAAAACAGCAGTAAAAAAGCAGCAATCAAATGATTTGTGTTGTGCCCCACGGAAAGACAGACAGAGGAAGAGGAGGCACCCAGGGAAGGAGTCCAGGCCGGTTTGTTCCCCAACTGTGCAAGCGCTTCTCTCTGCGCCATCCCCCCGAAATGCCAGAAGGCTACCCCGTGTCTTCCAGACACTCTGGCCGCGGAGATGCAGGGCCCCTCAGGAGCTCTTCCCCCCTGTTCCCCTTCCAGCGGCCTAGAACTTGGGCAGGGCCTGGAGGTGACCAGGATCTGCCACCAAAAGCAGGAGACCAAAACAGAAAACAAGAAGCCTGGCTCCTGGTCTTGCCGACCCTGTTGCGCCACAGCCCCAGTCTGCCAACTCTGGATTTCTGCTCCATTTGTTAAAGTCATCGTTCGGAAGGGTTTCAGGTCCCGGTGCTGCAAGCGTTCCTGACACGCGAGCAGGGGGCTGCCAGGAGCTCATCCCGTCTGTCTGTCCTCCCCGGGGCCGGAGAGGACGGAGCACACTCCCCCCACCACCCCCCGCTAGCAGGGAGCACACCATGGCGGGCTCCCCACCCGGCCGGCACCGGTACAGGGGCCCAAAGCCTAGCCCCAAGCGACACCCCGAGTGCAGGACACCCCCCCGAGCGCAGGTCGGTGAGGACACTCAATGTGGTCTCTCCAGAAGGTGACACACACGCTCTGCTCTGATGATAAACAAGCAAAACAACCTGCTGCTCCAGTTACTCCTCTCTGCAAGTCAGTTCTGCTTTCAAACTTTATTCCCTCAAGTAACTACTAAGAAATTGCTCTTGTAATTATTAATAAGCCTTTCATAATAACCACTCCATGAATAAAACAGGGCTTTAATCCCAGGGAAATAAAAGCCAAATCTCTGCTTTGAAAGCATTTCTATTTACAGCTGTGTTTTTACTGTATTTTTCGTGGTTATAAAAACCCTGGATACTCTGAAACTGTTATCTCTAGATGCCTATGAAAACTTATTTTCCAGAGAAAATTTAGCTTTTACATCATAAACCATTCTTAGTGCATTTTAATTATTTTTCAAAGTTTCCTGCTGATTTTCTGCATTTCAGAAATATAGACCATCCTCATGTGGGCACATCTCCACAAATGATCCACAGAAAGAACTTACACCCAGTTTCTAAACTATCTGCACATATGTTCTTCTAGTATTTATTAAGCTATAAAATATGTATTAAGAATCTTCCAGGACAGAATCACTAGGTATTACAAGGAAGTAAAGCGAAATAAAAAATCTTTCTGATGTATAAGCAATTGAGGTGTTCCCTTTTCAAAACTAACAGGAACACGTCGTTGGCGAAAAGGATGAAATCCCTGTGAATTAAAGACATGCGGCACTTACAGAGACAACCAACCTCTCTTGATACGAATGCTGGCACCTAAACATGGTAGAAATGGCTGCTCTCATTCTGCTGAACCTCTTATTTATAAAAGCAACCTATTTCTAAGACAGCTTTCTTCTACGAAATATTGAAATTTTCTCACAATGTACAAGAAAAACTGCTAGTGGCAGTCTAGAATATTTAAATACATCAAAATCTACAGAAAAATCACAGAAGTAACCTCAATTAAATAGTACAAGGAAAAGGATTAAAAGAAATGCTCCCTCCAAAACGCACTGCAAGAGACTCTGCATTTATTTTCCTAGTAGTTTTCCCGGAAAATCCAAACACACAAAAACCACTCTTCCAACAGGTGTTGCCTTCATTGGCTGGTTCAGGTGCTCAACTGTCAATAAAGTCAAGACTTCCACCCAGTTCCCTAGGTGAGCCAAGTTCACTCTCCTGAGATCTCAGTGAAAGGGCTGCCCAAAGGTGGTGCACAGGCCAGGACACAACATGCCCAGCCCCAGAGCACCACTCCGATCGGGGGCCCACTGACGAGTCCTACCCACGTAGGACAGGTAAAGAATCCTGGGCTCTGTTCTCTTGAAAAGGTAAAGCATGCACGTAAGAGGTGTAGAATAGCATCAGCAGGGTTTTTTGTTGTTGTTTTTAAATTGCACTAGTTTCTCCATGGAAAAAAGTCATGGCTAAATTAACTTACATTTTTAAATGAGAAGTAAAGGGATGGACGTGCACCCTCAAACAAAAGTTGTTCTGAGGGGAGTTTTTAAATTGTAAGAGGTTACTGTAGGTTTGCCTGTTACAACATGGTGAGAGTAATTTAACATTTCTTCAGTTCAGCTTAACAAATGCATTTTTATTATTACAAACTAAACAAACCCCCCCAAATTAAGCAACATTACCATACTTGGTGCCTCCAAGTCTAGGTACATTGAAGAACTTCTTACGTGAACTGTCATGCAATGTTTCAATAAGGTATTCAAAAGCATATCCTGAAAAAAAAAATTACACTTTCATTAAAAACAGCTACAAAGTGCTTTAATTTAAAATGAAAATAACTGGAAACCCGCTTTGTCCAAAAGAATTTTTTGCAGTGCTGCACATGCTCTCTACCTGCGCTGTCCAGTAGGACAGCCACAGGCCGCACATGGTTACTGAACACTTGAAATGTGGCTATAGCCACGGGGGAAGTGAACTTTAAAATTTAATTTTTATTAATTTAAATTGAATCACACATGGCCAGAAACCATGGTATTGGACAACACAGCTCAAATTATGACTCCTGTCAAACAGAGACAGGTAAGATAATTAACTCCTGAAATGTGGTAACAAAGAATACCAGGGAAGGAAAAACAAGAATGATTTAAATGATGTACAGGCCTTTTAGGAAGACAAGTCCTGAAAAATGCTAAGTACAGACAGAACAATGCAAAAACCTGACAACTGTCAGAAGGATTGATTTTTTTAAAAAATAACCGAAAGACAGATTTTTACACAGCATTCAACAACGTGGACAAAATCAAAAGGACACCAAAACACAAAACTTAGCAGGGAAGACCACTAGTCTTAGACTGAAGGTAGAAATGAACGAGAAAATATCTGGGTAAATCAAGATTCTCGCCAAGGCAACACTCTTTCTGGTTTTGCGTCACATGAACCTGGGGGTCTCACTGGAGGGCTCCCCAGCTCCCAACGTCCTGGGGGGGGGGGGGGCGAGTGGAGAAGAACGTTCAGATCAGGTCTTTTGTGCAGACTCATGGCTGTGGGTGGGCAAGACCCTCCGTGAGGGCAGCGCCCTGAGCCTGGGGGAGAAGGCAGGAGCACAGCCCCCTCAGACAGCACGAGTGTTCCCTCTCATGCTGGGGGTGGGGGGAAGGGGGAGCAGAGGGACAGAGGAGCAAGGGGCAGGAAGCGCATGGGGGAGGGAAGCAGGGGTGGGGGGGCAGGGGAGCACGGGGCAGGGGGCGGGCAGGAGGGACAGGAGGAGCAAGAGAGGCAGGCGGTAGGAAGGGCAGGAGCGGCAGGAGAGTCAGGGGGCGGGGGGGGGGGGCCGGGGGCCGGGAGGCAAAGGACCGGGAGCAGGGGGCAGGAGGAGCAAGGGGGCAGGGGAGCAGGGGGGCAGGGGGGACAGGGGGACAGGAAAAGCAGGGGACCGGGAGCAGGGGAGGCAGGGGGCAGGAAGAGCAGAGGACCGGGAGCAGGGGCAGAGGGAGCAGGAGGGGCAGGGAGGTCAGGAGGGTGGGGAGACCCACCGCCGCACGCACCGCCGGGAGCCGGCTGACCGGAGCCCGGCCTTGACCGCCCCCACCCCGGCCCGCGGCAGCAGCAGAGGGAGGGGCTCGGGCCGGGCGGCGGGGCCCAGCAGGAGCCCGCGGGACCCCCGCCAGGACTGCCGAGCAGCGGCGGGCCCCGCGCAGGCCCCAGGCCCGGGCGAAGGCAGCGGGGGGCCCCCAGGGAGCGCGGCCCGAGCTCGCCAGCCCCGGCCGAGCGACCCCCGGGGAGGGGAGCGAGCCGCGCGGCGCCGAGCGGGCACTGACCTGCACCGGGGGCGTCCATCGCCGGAGATCATAGTATCCCTGCGCGGAGGGGGCCCGTGGGGGAAGGCGGGGGAGGCCGGGCGGGGAGAGGGGAGGAAGGCGGGCGGACCGGCGGGGGAGCAGGAAGGGGCCGTCTCGCGCAAACACCGCGAGAGCCGCGGCGCCCGGCCGGCTGCGCTCGCGAGATTTGCCGCGCGGCTGTCGCGAGATTTCCGGACGAGGAAACAAAGAAAGACGCGGGGCGGTGCTCGGGGGAGGGGGGCGGTGCTCGGGGGTGGGCGGGGCGCTCGGGAGTCGGGGCGGTGCTCGGGCTGGGGGTGGTGTTCCCGCGGCGAGTTCCGGAGGAGCCGGGCAGTCACCCCCGGACGCTCGGCTCGGCTTCCCCGCGTCGCTCCGCCCCAGCCCCGGCCCCCGCGAGCCCCCACCGCCCAGCCGCCGAGGGTCCGGGGCGCGGGCCGAGCCGGTTCCCAGGCCTTGCCTCCCGGCAGCTTCCGCGGCCTCGGCCGATGGCCGGGTTCTTCCCTTCCCGCCCCGGAGGCTGCGCTTGCTGTGCCGGCCGCTCGGCGTCGGGGTGTCCGGAGACACCAGGGCTCCGCGCTGCGCCCCGAGCCCCGAGCCCTGTCCCCGGCCCGCTCCGCCTGGGTCTCCGGCCGCGCTCGTGCCGCTCCCCAGCCTGCGGCGCCGGAGCCCGGAGACGTGCGTGTCCTCCGGCGCCACGTCCACAGACACCCCGGACGCAGCGTCTCCCCAGGACACTCCCGAGTCCCCGCAGGCCCACGAGTCCTTCCCAGATGCCTGCATCGGCGGGCGGCAGCACCGTGCACCCGCGGTCCGAGCCCGAAACCCACGCGTCGTCCTGGGATCCGTGCGGACCCGGTCTGCGCTCCGCCCCGTCCAGCCCGACCGCCTGCTCCCGCGGCGCTGCAGGGGTGAGAAGAGCTCGCCGAGGGCGCCGGGCACCGCGGACTGCAGCCTTCACTTCCCCAAGGTGAACAGACTCAGCCAGCGGCACCCAGCGACTCGGGCTTTGCCCTCGGTTCCCCTGCACGAGCAAGCCCACAGGTTCCCCGAGTCCTTCGGGGTCGGCTGCCTCACACCTCTGGGTGCCCCGGAGAACCTCTCTGGGCAGAATCACCGCGCTCACTGTGATAACCTCTGCCCTCTCGGCCAACCCCGGCTCCTCCTCAGGCCCTAGTCCGGATAGCGTTTCCCACGGGAAATATTTGCTGACTTTTCCCAGCCCCGAGTCTTTGGGAAAGTGAAGACACGCTTCCCTCTCGCGCCCCTGGGTGGCTCAGTAGGTTAAGTGTCTGCCTTTGGCTCAGGTCTTGATCTCAAGGTCCTGGGACTGAGCACTCCCACCCCCCATCAGGCTCCTTCCTTGGCAAGAAGCCTCCTCCTCCGTCTGTCTCTTACCCTGCTCGTACTCTCTCTCAAATAAATAAAATCTTAATTTTAAAAAAATGCTTTCCTATCCTATATTGTAAATAATGCACTTCATTACACTTGATTGCAATTGCAGATTTACGGTATTTCGCACATCCCGGTTAGATGTATGGGAGAGTTGTGTGGGAGAGTACCCTAGGAGCAGTGGCTTAACCAATACAGACCTGTAATTATCTCCCGTGACAAAACCCACAAGAGCTGTCCCCAGGCCGCTGCCGCAGTTCGGTCACACCATCAAGGATCCTGTCACCTCGTGGTTGTAGGATGACCCCGTTATACAGAAACATAATGTTGTCCTACAACTTCCCAAAGCAGGGGGGAGCTGGTGCAGACCACCTCTCTCTTCTTAGTACTGTTTCTTAGTGTAGTCTCCATGCCCAACTTGGGGCTTGAACTCACAACCTCAAGATGAAGAGTCCCACGCACCCCTGAGCCAGCTGGGCGCCCCAGAGCATCTCTCTCCTTTTACCAACATGACTTCCGAAGATCCTCTCCAGACCTCTCTTTGACCAGAAATCAAATCAGTCCTTCTCCACGCCATCAAACCCAACTCCCATTCAAGGCGTATGATTTTGGAGTGTCTCCTTTACTACCCTGGCATGAAATTCACCGATAACTTGCACAGAACAATAAAATAATCTACATGATGCCCTAACTGTAATATAAAGGAAAGACAAAAGTAACTGATTAGAAAATACTGTTACAATATATAGGACACAGGCATGTCTGTACTACATGATGTATTGGTGTCTCAGATGCTAGCATCTACTTACAGTGGCTTTACAGAACACAATATTAAATGCTTTTTCATTTACATTTGACATTTCAAAATAAGGATGAAGTATATAGTGCATAAATATATATCATGAAGGCATGTATATGATAAGCGCACATACGTGATATCATACAGGCCATGGGGGGAGAGTAATAAATGTATCGATGACTCCAATGTAGAAGCGTTGTCGCTGTTGATTTTCTGAAATAGTGAACAATTCTTGGTAAAGTGCCAAACAAAGTAAATTACAAGCTTTCCTCTTTCTACGCGATATTTGCATACCTGGGAAATTCAGTGTACATTAAAACCATACCCAGATTACTTTTATTTGTAAATGGCGTTAAGTTTTAGGCTCATATACTTGTAAACAAATCTGCTGTTCTTGCTTTTCTATTTGTGTGTTATGTACCCAAATACCTGGCAGCCTGTTCGGCAGGCGCTCGTCTGCTTCTTTCCTGTGTAGCTGTGCGCTGTGGGGTGCAGGCAGCCTGACGTTTGTTAACTCCGCCGAAAGTGCTCCCCCACTACAGCAACAACCAAAAACACCCTCCTGTTTTCTGAATGTCTTGATTCCACTGAGAAGCACTAACTTAGATCAATCACCATGTGTCCTGGGGCTGGACTCATTATTGCCTTTAAAAAAAAAAAAAAAGCGAAGAACTTTAGCCACTTGGGTGGCTCAGTGGGTGAAGTGGCAAACGTGGTAAAAGCATGTGGTTAAACAAACTGTGGCCCAACCTCAGGGTGGAGGAGACTCAGCGATAAAAAGGAAGAAACTAATAGTACAACAACCGGATGGACCTCCAGGAAGGAAGTTGAAGGAAAAAAGTCAATCCTAAAAAGTTCTATAGAGTACGGTTCTATTAACACAACATTCTTGAAAATGTGGAAATTACAGAAACGGAGAACAGGTGAGCTGCTGGCCAGGGGCTCAGGGAGGGCGGAGGAGCGCAGCCTGGAAGGGAAGTGGGTGAGATCATAAAAGGGCAGCACGACGGACCTTTGGAAATGGTCTGTATCTTCACTGTGGTCGTGGTGACATGAGTGGTAAAATCACATAGAACTACACACACACACACACACACACACACACACACACACACACACGGGCCTGGCAAAAGAGCAGCAGTCTGAAAGGTGAAAAGATTGTATCAATGTCCATATCCTTACTTTGCTACTGTGCTTTGTTACATGGGAGAAGACTGGGTGAAGAGTACTCAGCCTCTCTATTACTTCTTACAACAGCATTTACATCTACAAAGATCACAAAATAAAAAGGTTTTAAAACGGGTGAATTAGAGCTCCATGAACTTGTTTATTTTTTTAAAGATTTCATTTATTTTATTTGTCAGAGAGAGAAAGCATGAGCAGCAGGCAGAGGGAGAAGTCTCCCCGCAGAGCAGAGAGCCCGATGCAGGGCTCCATCCCAGGACCCCAGGATCACCACCTGAGCCAAAGGCAGATGCTTAATCCACTGAGCCACCAGGTGCCCCCCAAATTGGAGTTTTTATTAGCAAGGAAGACGAGGGAACATCGGTGAGTTTGGCAACCCCCAGTGTCTGCCACATACCAGCAGACTACACGCTCTGGGAGGACCCATGCTGTCCCCAGCATCAAATACAGCGCCAGGCACAGAGTAGATACCAATTTAAAGCCTGCCCACTGAACGAAATGACCTGTTCAAGGTTGTCCATCCGGCCACACCAGAGTAAAAACAAAGGCTAATCGTTTGGTTCTCCTTTCAACACTTAGAAAATGTGCATTTGGTTTTTATTTAGAAGAGAGATGAGGAAGTTCAATGAGAAGAGCAGAGGAGGACCTTCCCCCAAAGGCCACACACAGGAGTGAACGCCATCTCTCTGCCTAGGTCCCAGCATTTTTCCCCAACCACATCCGCATTCTTCCAAGAGATGATCTCACAATACATTTGTCTCAGGTCCCCTTCCTGCTGGGATTTTTCACCCTTGTGATACTCCAGTGCCCTTAGACGGGTGCCCTATGCAGGCCCGTCTCTTTTTCTTCAATTAAACTTTTTATTTCGGGAAAAAATTCAAGGATACAGAAATTGTGAGAAAATTACAATACACTTTCTCATACCTGCCACCTTGATTTATTTAGTGTTGACATTTTGCCACATTTGCTTTATCTTTCTCTCTGTTTACACACGGCATAATGAGACCCTCGATATTTGGGGACATTTATTAGTTTGTTTTCCGGCTTGAGGTGTAATTGGCCATAACACTGTGGAAGTTGAAAGTGGACAACATGATGATGGGAAAACATGCGTATTTGGAAATGATTACTACAATAAAGTTCATTAAGATGTCTGTCACTTCACATAGTTATGTTTTTTGTATGAGAAGTTTTAAGATCTAGTGTCTCAGCAACTTTCAAGTGACAGTACACCACCGCTGAGTGCAGTCACCCATCCTCATTATTTCTTATTCTAGCTCTTCCTGAAACATTCGAGAGTAAATTACAGAGGTTACAACGCCTCAGCCCCAAACATTGCACCACGTATCTCCCGAGAACAAGAAAAATCTCTTACACAACCAGAGCGTCGTGATCAAATTCAGGAAATTTAACATGGCTACAGCACTATTACCTAACTTAAAACATATATTCAAATTTTGCCAACTGTCCCAATATTGTCCTTTCTAGAAACTTCTTTCAACAATCCAGAATCCAATCCAGAATCAGGCATTGCACTTAGACGTCGGCGTCTTTCGTCTCCTGTAATCTGGAACTGTCCTTCAGCTTTTCATTTTCCTTTATGGCGCCTACTGCCTTGAAGAATGCGGGCGCACTGTTTGCACCGTATGCTTAAGTTTCGGTTTGCCTGACTGTTTCTTGGGATGAAATTTAGATGATGCGGCTTTTGCAGGAATGCCGCACAAGTGATGGTGTGT